TATATATATATATATATATATACACAATATAATAAAGATAAAAAAATAAGAATAAAAAGAGATAAAATATATACACATATAGCTCTTCTGTATATATGAGATACAATATATACTGTACACATATAGCTCTTCTGTATATATATAGAATGTTAAAAAGTTTTTTTTTTAAATGTTAAAAAAAGAAATTCACAAGTCTAAGTTATTAAAAAAATCCAACAAAGCATTAACAATGGACAGCAAATGGAGGGAACAACAATGCATGCGCTTTACATGCATGACACTTCCTGTTTACTGTTCTTTCTGACTGTGTATATCCGCCCAGAATATCTCCTCAGCCTCCAGCATTGTACCAATGCTTCCTTTGTTGAAGCGATGACAGCAGATGTTGTTGTATGTTTTCACCTGACTTTCAAACGTACTAACCCTCCACCCATGAATTTTCAGAGTTTCTTCCTAGATCTGCTCTTTTAAAACAGGTTTGCACCTGTTTTATAATCTTCTGAAAAACCACCCCACAATGTGTAGTGCTGAATCCTCCATTTCCATTTATGATGAAAAATCTTGTTTTGTGTTTAAAAAAAATCTAATATTTGATGAAAAAACTTTAGACATTAAATTAAATTTGTTCATGTTTTACCTTTAATGAAAAGAAATAAGAAATTATTTACAGCAAAGAAATAATTCAGAAATACAAGCCAATAAATGTAAAATTATAATTAAGTAGAAGAACATGCAATTGTTCGTCAAAAAACACAGATTTATATAGATGGAGTGAAATAAATATATACTCATACATTTCCAACACAATCTTTGAAAAACAAAGAAACATTTCACTTGATTTCAAAGGAGATGTGCACAAAAATAATAAAACCAAAAAAAAAGAAGCCAATACAAGTGTTGAGTTGGGATGCAACACTGTTTAACTTTGTGTGAGGAATTGCTGATAATATCCAGTTGGGGGAAATGCAAAATATTTTAATCATCAAAATTATCGTAAAAGACCTTGAGTTTCTGCCTCCTGCACAGGCTTCAGGATTACGTCTCTTCTGTAGGAAAAATGAGTGAGTTTGATAGGTCTGTAATTCCTTCTTTCTCTTTGCTGCAGCAGCTTATAAAGAGAAACTGTGAGTTTAGCCAGCACCAGTGAGTAGGTGATCTCCACAACAAGCAGAGATGTGTAGATTATCATCCATGTTTTGCACTCTTGAACTTTTCTGCTGATGTGATGAACATAGGGAGTATTTAACTCTGGAGTGCAGGTGAATTTGAAACGATTTGGAGCAATAGAAGTCTCTGGTTGAGTGGTTGTTGGAAGGGTTGTCCTCAGCATGGTTGTTGGAGATGTTGTGTGTGTAGTTGTGGTCAGCATGGTGGTAGTTCTATAGGGAGTTGTAGTTAGTGAAGTTGAGTGTGTAGTTGTGAGTGGAGTTGTTAATGTGGTGGTTGTCAAAAGTGTTGTTTTTACAGTAGTTGTGAGTTTAGTTGTTAAAGCTGTAGTTGTTAGTGTGGTCGTTGGTTTGGCTGTTGTGGTGAGGGGTGTAGTTGTGGTGGTGGTTGGAGTGGTTGTCATAACAGAAGTTGTGATCATCGTTGTTGTTGTTGTTGGTAACATGGTATGGTATGTTGGCGCCATAGTTGTTTGTCCTATGGTGGAAGTAGCTGTTGTGGATGATGTAGTGGTTTTGAGGATTGTAGTGGTTTGTTGTGTTGTTGTGGGTGTAGTGGTTGGCAAAGTGGTGGTGGGTCTTGTAGTGTGCAGTGCAGTTGTTGGTGTTGTTAGGACTGTTGTTGGTATTGTGGTGAGTAAGGTGGTGGTAGCCACAGTAGTTGTAGGTGTTGTTGTTAGGATTGTTGTTGGTATTGTGGTGAGTAAGGTGGTGGTAGCCACAGTAGTTGTAGGTGTTGTTGTTAGGATTGTTGTTGGTATTGTGGTGAGTAAGGTGGTGGTAGCCACAGTAGTTGTAGGTGTTGTTGTTAGGACTGTTGTTGGTATTGTGGTGAGTAAGGTGGTGGTAGCCACAGTAGTTGTAGGTGTTGTTGTTAGGACTGTAGTTGGTATTGTGGTGAGTAAGGTGGTGGTTGTGGGTGGAAGGGTGGGGCAAATTAACTGATCCCTGTTTAACAATTGGATTTGCTGTCCTTTTAAATGTTTTGGATGTTCACAGAGCACTTCCGATTTGACTTTAGCCCCATTGTTTATTATCCAGAGGTAGAAGTCTATCAGATTGCAGTCACATTGCCATGGGTTGCCACTAAGGTAGAGCTTTTTAAGTTTGGTCAACGACTCAAATACATCCCCAGGAAGTGTCCTTAGACTGTTGTTGGCAAGCTTGACTGTGGACAATAATCCAAGGTTTTCAAACATTTGTGCATCCAATGACTGTATCATATTGTTTTGGACATTAAGCTCAGTGAGCCTCTCAAGGCCATCAAAGTAATCAGAAGACAACTTCACAAACTGATTTCCAGAGAGATCTAACTTCTTAACTCTCTTCAAGGATCTGAAGATTCCCTTAGGAAGAGTGCTGAGATTGTTTTTTTGGAGGCTGAGCTCAGTCATGTCATTCATTTCCCCAAAAAGAACTGGTGGAAGGTTCGTCAGCTGATTATTCTTTAAGGTTAATATTTTAAGCTTAGGAAAGCCAACAAAATATTTTTCAGGTAAACTGGTTAGAAGATTACTCTCTAATTCCAATTTAATAATCTTATTTTTATGTGGAAACAGATTTGGTGACAGTTCTTTGATCTTGTTTCCTTGCAAACTTACTTCCCTTAAGTCCGGTAAGTTTGTGAAAAGATCCTCTGGTATTGTAGTCAGTTGGTTTTCATAAAGTCGTAGAGTATTCAATTTTTTCAGGTTTGAGAACCAGCTTGTGGAGACTGCAGTGAGATTATTTTTACCCAATTGAAGCTTTTCAAGATTGACAAGATCGTCAAATGTTTGGTCTTCAATGAATTCTATTCTATTTCCTTGCAGCTGTAGATCTTCTAAATGATTTAAACCATCAAACAATCCTTTCTCAAGTGTTACAAACTGATTAAACTTTAAAATAATTGTGTCCAGGAGACTGTTGTCTTTAAACAAACCCAGAGGCACTGAAGTCAATGGATTATTGGAGATCTCAAGACTTCTTAGATTTACCAAACCATTAAATCCTCCAGGCTCAATTGCTGATATTTTTGTGCCCATGAAAACCACTTTCACAAGCTCTGGGTGTCCAGTAAAAGCTCCTTTGGGGATCTCTGTAATATGGCTTGACACAAAAAAGACCTCTGTCACACCAGCTCTAAGAGTTTGGGGGATTTCTGTTGTAGAATGGTCGAAAACTATCTGATGGTCTTCTTCAGCATTTTCAATCACCGAAAAATCCATAATCAGTAAAAACAGAAAGAAAGCAGTGATCTCTCCATTCAACATTCTTGACATTCTGCAAAAATTAAAGGAAGGAAGGAAGTAAACAAAAAACTGAAAATATATATAATTCCCTACATTATGTGACTAAAATATGGAGGACATACATATACATATTTTTCACATACTAGGTTAAGTATAAAAAAGAGATACAGACTCATACATTAAAGCTGCAAACTGATGGATTGCTTTAAAAAGCTGAAGAAGGGGGCTTTATGTATATTCATTTTATTTGTTTTTATTGTGAATTGTCCAAACAATAAATATTAGCATGTAAATATGTGATACTATAGCCAGATGACTAATCTCAATTGCAAGTCTCTCTGTTAGGTTGGTATCAACCATTTAACAAGAAAAACAATATAAAAATAGATAAGTTGATGTAATACATTATTATAACTATAAAAAATATGCAAAACCATGCTAATTGTACACATAATTGACTGTTATTTTAGAAAAAAATGTTTTTTATTAAACTTTTTTTATTTATGGTCAGTAAGTTGAGAGTTAACTAATAGATCAAGTTAAAGCATTAAATATGTTACATAAAGGAACTGTCTGCTTGTGCTGATAAAACCTATTATCCTTCATATAAACGAGGTTCTTTCCTTACCTTAATACTTTTGTGCCAAAAATAAAGCCATAGGTAAACACAAATAAGTGTTGTCTTCTCAACAAAAAACACAAGCAACTAGAGCTTCAAGGGTTAAAGACATGTGTGGTTGGGTGTAACCAACCTCTGGAGCCTGAGATAAGAACAGGGCCAGTTGTTTACTCCAAATCTTTGCCGCTTGGTGCCAGGACGACTTAATTTCAAGAGCCAACTGGCATAATTAACAGTAATCAAACACTTGTTATAATTGCCTTCCATGTTTTGATCACAAGGTATCTTGCTTTTTTTTATCTGTACTTCATCCACACTCATTGGTTCAGTGATTTGCTGGAGTCAGCTTTGTATAATAAATGTAAAAAAGACACTTCAGACTGGAAAATCTCTTTGCCGTGGTTACAGACAGTTTTTGGTTTGACATCTTTTATTAGAATCAACATTTCTATTTAAGAAGTTGAAACTGTGTCTTTGTGTTGTGGCCAAGACAGGTAGTTAACCCAGACTCACCTTAGACTTAGACTTATTTTTCATTTTGTTTACACAAGTGTAAAACAAAAAGAAATTTCGTTTAGAACAGTTTAGAATTTTTTTTTTCTCATTGGTCTTGAAAACATCCATTTTTAAATCTCTTTTGACCAATTGTGTGTCTGTATCTGTATTAAGAGCCAACGAGCTAAGGAAATTAAAATTAATAATAATAAAAAAAATCTTATAGCACATGAATAGACACTAATGAAACATGAATGTGGCCGTTAGTTCACCTTGATTATAGTCTAATTAAAAAAAAACAAATGAAATGGGTAATTTTTGAATTTTTGAAAAAATGAGAAGCCATTGCCTAGTACAGCTCCAGGAAGCAAAACTTTAAACATCCACTAATTTCTTTCAGTTTAAATGATGTTATCTCCAGCATCCTGAATGCTGTTCCTAACTTCCTCAGCATTGAATTCTGAACATTCAACCTCAAAATCCTTTTGCTTGGTCTTGTATTTGCATGCAATGCAGTCTACCAAATGTAGGTTCTAAAATAGTACTTTTAATTCCCTCCACTGAACACTGTTCAGTGGAGGGAATGTACTAAATATGTACTAAATATGCCATATGCTGAATATTTCAGTGAAACAACCCCATTCATATGCAAATAAGACACAAAGAAGTACAATGGATATAAAAAATCTACACACCCCTGTTCGGTATTCGTGATGTAAAAAAATGACAGCAATACAAATGATTTAACAATTTTTGCAACCATTTATTTGACCTTTAACCTGTACAATGTATTTGAAAAACACTCTAAAGCCCTTAAGGCGTTGCTGTATGATATATTCAAGAAAAAAAAGAAGAAAAAAAAACTTGAATTAATGAAGATATTTCTACATTTTTCATTAACCCAGAGAGAAACAGAGGAAATTGATGAAACCTCTTTGATATGTGATTTAAATGACAAGTACTGATGAAAAATAACCCCATTGTTTTTTTTAAACTATATTACCGGTATATAAGATCTATTTAAACCCCTCTAAATGAGGTGACTAACTAATCAACTTGTTTTTGAAAAAACTCTGTTCCAAAGACTATACTTTCTGTTTTGTCCGCATTCAAAGCCAGAAAGCTTAGAGTCATCCAGGTTCTTATATCATCAAGACATGCTTTTAGTCTATTCAAGGAATAATTTCATCAGGATTTATGGACAAATATATCCGAGTATTTTTTAGCATAACAGAGGAAATAAATCCCATGCTTTCTAATAATTATACCAATTGGGAGCATATATACTGTAAAGTAAAGAGAATAACTGAAATCTATCAGGATCACCACCATGTTTCACTGTAAATATGGTGTTTTTTTTGGTGAAGAGTGGAAAAACACAACTTTTCGATTTAAGTTCAAAAAGTTCAATCTGGGTTCCATCAGACAATAACACATTTTCCCTAATGTGCTTGGAGGATTTTAGATGTATTTTTGCAAGATTTAGCTTTGATGTTTTTCTTTGTGTTGCCAACTTACCCCATAGCTAGACATATGAAAAAATGAAAAAAATGGCAGAGTGTTGTCCGATGTACTTGCCAGTACTTCCCAGAAATTTCTGCAGCGTACCTTTAGGTTTGCTGTTTGTTTCTTGGCCGCCTCCGTGCTCAGTTCTGTCTCCCCTTGTCATCAATTTTTAATGGAAGTTCTGTTCTTGGTAATGTCACTATTGTGCAATATTTTCTCCACTTCACAATGATGGTCTACAGTGTTTCATGGTATATTCAATTCCTTGGAAATTAAAATCAAGCCTTCACCACATTAATATCTTTAAATAATCAGATTCCTCTCATGCTTTGGAAGCTCTCTACAGACTATGGCTTTTGTTGGAAGATGTGGCTGCAAAAATGTCGGGAAAACCCAATAACAGCTGAACTTCATTTAGGTATTGATCAGAGACCCTTTAATTGAGGAAATATGTGTGCTGACTATGCACAGCCACATCCTCAGTCAGGACCAGAAATCAACTTTTTTTGGCTACCAGCCATTGTGGCAGGTGGATTGTGAAATCAAAGCTGGCACCTTCCACAGTGGTTTTTTTTACCAGCCCATTTTTTATGCCTAAAATAATAGTGAGTGAAACAAAATGGTTGTTGAACTTGAATAGGATGCACATTAAAACACTGCTTGGTTATTGACCAACTTAATCTCAGTTATGAATAAACCTACGCAATGACAACTGTATCCCACCTGATGTGACTAGCATTTAGAAAATTACAGAAATACAAATAGCCAATCATTTCAATGATGGTCTCACTTATAAAGGTAACATCCAGATGGAAATCTAATTAACCGTATACATGTTTCTTTGTCACTGTTTGTATTCGCGTTTAACTTTTTTTTTTTAATCCTAACATTACATTATTATCCAAATTTATTTTCCCCTTCAAGAAAAGTTTAATATTTTGATTGAATAACATTTAGGCAAACAACAAAGACAACAATCATAACAATAATGTGAAATAAACGGAACCCAAACCGCATATCAATGTTATATCAAGGTCATGCAACGATTGAAAAACCCTTATAAAGAGCAAAGAGTGACTTCTCAAAAGAAGAGTAGAAGGCACCGGTCCTTACCTCTGCTTCCTCAACATCCTCCACCATTGCAGCATCTGGTTTTCCATAAGGTCTGGTGTGTTGTTGCTTTCTCAGAGCTATGCATACGGCAATCCCAACAGTACATCTCATCTGTTGCAACACAAGCCGATCTCCAGTCTTGCCATCCCTTCCTACTTCATATTAACACATTGTGTCCTCCTCATGCCAGTAATATGTCGACACATTTTGTGTTAAAAATCCCAGTAAAGACGGGTGCTTACCTAACAAAATAATAGGCTACATGGTTGGTCAACAATTGTTCAGCATTGCATGTTTTCTTAGTGGTTAATTGCCAATCTTGCAGGTAGATTGACAGTTACGCCCGCTAATCTCAAAAGTTGCCAGCATGTGGTGGGTGCCAAATTCATGCCCTATCCCCAGTTATAAAAGGGTGGGCATACTTGTCAACCACATTATTTCAAATGTTTATTTTTACCTCAACCCTCTGAAGGATTTGTGTTTGTTTTCGGTTATATTGTACAGCTTATATGTTACATCCAAAGCTTGAAAATGTTTTGAATTTATTTGCCTTGATGTGATTTTTTAAGAAAATCAAATCCTGTCATTTAAACAGGGGCATGTGGACTTTATATATCCACTTTACCTTGAATAAACAGGAGTTTAAAAGTTGACTTTCACCTGTAACCAATCCTAAATTGGAAATAACCTTTTTATCTATATCCTATTATGGCCTTTTTATGGAAGTATAAGAAATTTAGATCATAATTTAGTCATTTTAGATTGAAGTGAGTTCCATTTTTCTAAAGTGTTGATAATGTGATGTGTATTTAATGTGAAATGCATTAAAACATACAGCAGGACATACCAGATGGTTCTGAGTTATTATGAATCAAACAGGCTCATTTTTAAAACAAATATCCGGCATTTAGTAGAACCACAGCAGGCATCTGACTAATATCTAGTACAAACCCGTCTCTGTGTGGTGACTTCAGATGGAAAGAGTTTGCTCAACAATGTATAATGGATATGGATTGAAACACTGTTGTTCCAGAACATCTAGTGTGGAATTGGTTTCTGTGATTTAACTTTAAATGAAAATGATTTTCAAATAAATCCTCCACAGCTGTTACAAGAAATAATTTTTCATATTCTTAAAGGTATTGCTAACAACACCACCATCCCTTTACTTCCAGGGTTGTCAGATCTGCCTCTTTCCAGTCCAAAAGCAAATGAAAAACCCCACCACCTCTATGAATAAACATTAACATACATTCCTCTAAAACATATGTTAAAACCATAAAACGATGTAACACTTAATACAAATTAATATTTTTTAAATGTCTCTTCTTCTCAAAATGTTACAGGTACAGATGAGATGTAGAGTGCTCCAACTTTTCCTTATCTCATTTGACCAACTTCACCTACTTTTAAGCAGTTCAGAATCCTTGGGAAACTTAAAGGAGCAGGTGCATCTATATGGGGGCTGAAGGAAAAAGCTGCAACAAAATGAAGTCATGGCTTTATTTTAATCCATGAAAATTTTGCAGCTGTCCTTAATGAAATCACAGTTCGAGCTCTCACTTATTCCCCATAAATGTCTCTTCTGCTTTCTCCCTCAGTCACTGAGCACTGCTAAAGTCCTCTGAACGGCAGTGCTTTTTTGATAAAAACTATTTACTCTGGCTCCCTTGAAATAATTGCATTGATCATCAGTAGTAAGGTTCTGGTCTATAAAAAATACTAGAAAATGTGAATATCAACACTTATCAACACTTTTATCAACAATAATTAAAGACTACAAAAAATAAAATCCTGGAGGGATATCTATTTTAAGGTCTTACATCTTCAGGCAAAATAGTTTCATAATTCTAGTAAAATACTTATTTCCCATATTTTGCTTTAAACAGAAAGATTTACGTTTATGTGTTTGTCTTTTGAGGCAAGCAAGTCTCAAATACTTTATTCCCAGTCCCCTTTACTATTTAATAAGACTAAAGTTAATTAGATTTGAATTAATCTACTTCTTATGTTTTGTTCCCTTTTCATTAATTAGCAAAAATCGCCATTTTTAGCAAATTCCTTTATTCATTCTCTATGAGCTTTCATTTTTCCTTTCACTTTTTGTCCAGAACAAAGTTCACCATAGAAAACTTTGACACACAATGTTTTCCTACAAAATGAACAAAGCCTGTTACACACAGAGCTTTTTTCAGTCAGGCTGATTTATTGTGTAGATTATTTTTCTTGTTGTTCTTTAAGATGATCCTTTTACTGCTATATGGTTTACAAGGTTGAGCATGGTAACAATATTGAGAAGCAGATTGTAACACAGTGAAGAAAGTTGCATCTTTCTTCAGGATACAGAAGGTCTTAAGATAGTGGAGTCAGATTAACACCATTATGTAACAAGAGTTAAACTGTTTGCTAAAACCATTGTTATTTGAGAAATCAGCATCAAATTATTGCCAAGTACAGAAAAAACACTGGGTTCATATTATTACATGAAGCTGCAGGTTTGTCTCAACATAATTTGTCGTTTTACCGTTAGACGATGACACATTTTTTTTCTTATAATTTCTAAATCACATAACAAAACACAAATACAAACTGACAGTGCCGCCTTTGAGGATCTACAATCAACTCTGCGTTCTTTGAGAAACCATGTTGAAAATTCAACATTTTTGCTGTAAAAGTCTCTGATTGTGCATCATGGTTTTGCGATCTGATCTAAAGCACTGAATTACGATTCCGTTGGCTTATATTTTCATTCCCTCTCCTGTTTCCTTTCCAGCAAACACAACCAATGATGACTAAACTGATGATGACAGTAGAAACTACTGCAAGTGCAATTAGAGTTACAGAAATATCAAAACTCTTTTTATTTTCTTCCTCTCCACCCTTGGTCACATTCTCCTGTTCTGAGGTTGGCGTGGTCTTTATTCCCGTCGATGGAGTGCTTCGTTTGGGTGGATGTGTATGGGGTCTCCTTCTCCTCTCAGTCGAGGTCAAACTAGGCGCTTCAGAAGGGCTTAATGGCATCAGATTTTCATCTGTAAGCAAGGCAATTACCTCACCTTTTAGGCTGGAAGGACTCTCGCATAAAACAAGAGTTTGGTTAACCTTAGAGGGGTGTTGTCTGAGCCAATCCCTCAGAGGTGAAATGGCTTTGTCACATCTCCAGGGGTTCTGCTGTAAAATGACATACTTTGCTTTACTTAGTGCATCTAGACTATACTGTGGTAAGTTAGAAAGTGAGTTGTTTCGCAGGTCTATCTCTCCCAGGTTGTTTAGACCCTCAAGGAAACCCAATGGAAGGGAGGCAAGGAAGTTGTGCTCCAAGGATATGTTGACCAGACTGGACAAATGTTCAAACGTCTTGGCTTGGAGAGTTGTAAGTAGATTGGTGTGCAGTGACACCTCCCCAAGGTTTGTCAAACCTCTAAAGGCGCCGTCAGATACAAAGCTGATGTGGTTTCGACTGAGCACCAGAAGACGTAAGTGAGTCAGGTTCCTGAAGGTGTCGTCATCAATACGGCTCAGTTTGTTGTCATACAGCCACAGCTCCTGCAGGGCCATTGGACCGAAGATCCCTGGACTCAGACTTTCTAGATTGTTCTCATACAGAGAAATGTGAGAAAGAAGAGGCAAATTAAGGAAGATTCCTTGCGGAAGTGATGTCAGCCTGTTGTTGGAAACAAACAATTTCTGTAGCTTCAGAGTTTTTAGAAATAAATCTCTGTGGAGATGAGTGATTAGATTGTCCTGTAGAGTTAATTCCTCCAGATTTACAAGGTCATCCAGACTCCCTACAGGAACTTCATTAAGCTTGTTTTTGTTAAGGCGCAAGGTTTTTAATTCAGAAAGACTCTTGAATGTCTCACTGAATATTTGAGTAACATTATTCCCAGCAATTGATAAGTACTGCAGCTTTGTTAGGCGATGAAAGCTTTGCGCAGGTATATGAGTGATTTCATTCGTGCCCAAGTCAAGTTGTTGTAGCTCTGTTAACTGGGAAAACAACCTTGGCTGAATTGCATAGAGCTTGTTGCTTCTCAGAATCAAAGTCTGAAGTTTTTGGAGACTTTGGAACAACATCTCAGATAGATCCTGTATTTCAGTCTTAGATATTGCCATAGATTCAATGTTTAACGTGTCATTGAATGTGCCAGGGTGGATTTCCCTCAAAGATGTGTCCAAAATTACAAACTTTTTAAGACTATCTGAGAAATCATTGAGATCCTCAGGTTTAAGAGAGTAGAATTTACATTCACGAAAGTTGATAACGGTGGTAGATGACGGCACCGCTGTAGGGAAGTCAGAGAGGCCAGTGCATAGGACATTTGTTTCTTTACATAGGCATCCATTTGGGCAAGACCAAACAGCAGCACCAAGAGAGCAGAGTAGTAGCAGCAATGAAGTTATTGGCACATCCATTGTGGTCCTACAACAAACAAAGGAAACATGTTAAAGCAGGAGAAAATAATGATTGATGCAACAGCTATTTTTAAATTCAAGTGTCCCTTATTAATTATTTTGCAATAAAGTATACATCCCCTCAATAATAGTCTAACAGGATCATTACTATAAAATATGATGGATGGATGGATGGATGGATGGATGGATGGATGGATGGATGGATGGATGGATGGATGGATGGATGGATGGATGGATGACCCTTCTTGCCATGCAGTAGTTTTATAGTCTTTTTCTGGGAAGAAAAAGAAAGAAATGCAGTTTTAGGTATACATTGAACAGGAACTCTGTTGTTGGGTGGGTTCACATAAACAGATGGGTTAAATGATGCAACTGTAAAATATCTTGAAAGGAAACAACCTGACTTATTTTGCCATTTGTTGCTCGTTTTGTTTTATTTGTGCAAAGAAGTTAATATTAAGGCTAGGGCTAAAGGTTTTTAATGAATAAAAACAATTAGTTTTTCATGCTGCAGGTTTTTGTGTGAACAAAGCAGTTGGAGCAGTTGGAAAAGATGGTAGATCAAAAGAAAATAAATATTTTGAAAATATGTGGAAAGATTATTTTTTTATGCTTTGGTCTATTCTTTACTAGACAAACTTTAAAGTAAATTACTCTGTGAGCATTTTATTGAGTGGAAAAAGATTAATAGTATTTATATTTAGGGATCATATAAATCAGGGGTTCTCAAATGTTTCCATTCTGGGGCCTTTCATAATCATTATAAACTTTTTTCTAAGAGCTGTGAGGCTAGCCACAGCTGAAACAAAGTACTGAACAATAAAAACAATAAAATGAACAACTAGAAAACTAGAAGGCAAAGCCTTGAAATATTTTGTTGACAGTTTTCTCAAAGAAGAGCCTGCAAAACAAAACATTTTAAGAATTCCAAAAAATTAGGAATTCAACTAGTTTTGCTTTTAAAGTTACCAAACTTTTAATGCTATGTAATTGTAATGTTAATTTCTTATTTTTACCAACTTATTTAAAAGTAGCACTCGCTTGTAAAATGTAATGAATAAACTAAAAGTCATTAACTTCCTTCTTTTATTCTAGTGCTTATTGTCCCAGCAAATGTGTCATCT